AAGGACTATCCGTACTGTAAGATTGCACAGCTGATAAGTGGTAAACTCCTGCTTGTTTCCAAAGCTTATATTTTATTCACAGCCGAATCTATCACCTGAGTGGGCGTCTGGCCCAAAGAATAGGCATCAAGCGGGCAGAGGAGGAAGAAGAGGGAACCGTACCCATGTGGCAGGGCCTGGTTCAGGCCCGCGGATTCTGGGCCGTGAGGACGGGAGGGAGGCAGCTGTGGGTGCGGGGGATAGGAGGAGCGCTGGGGCAGCACCTCACTCCCGAGGTGGTTCCATCCTGCTTTGTGGTCTTCAGTTCTGAGAAACGAATGCTCAAGGTTCAGAGAAACCCAGCTGCATCTTTTCATTTGAACATCATCTGCCCTGCACACAACATAACTAGGAGTGTTACTGCCCTAAAACTCGCCAGCATGAGAAAATCTTGGACCCTCTGAGTCCGCGGCTGGCCCGGGGCTGCGGGCAGCGGTGGCTGTCTGGGGACAGTGACAGGCCTGAGCTCTGTGGCAACACTCACCTTTTCTTGCCTGCCCGGGCCTCTCTTCAGAGACTGCACCTTATTTTCAGAAAACGCAGCTCATTCTCCCCAGCTCAGAGCTGCGTGTTGGAAGTGCTCTCTGGACTCATCGGAAGGCTGACCGTGTACCTGCGTGGATCCGGGTCTTCACGTAGGAGACGTGGCCCACGTGAGGCCCTCCAGCTTACGTGCCCGGCACCTGACACTGCACAGGTGGTCAGAGGATACTGGGGGGCTCTCAGCACTTTGGACAAAGAATAAAAGGCCCAGTCTTGCCCTCCAAAGATGGCAACCCACTCCATACCCCCACAGAAATCAGTATCTTCTCCAGTGCGGGCAGGAGGCTGAAGGACTCACAGCTCAGGGAGGGATCGCTGACTGGAGCTGGGGCTGCCCCATAGGGGCAGGAGGAGCATCTGGGGCCTGGACCCTCAGGCAGGAAGTCGGGGTGGAGAGAGAGGAACGCTAAAAGCAGAAACCGAACCTGGGCTTTATCCAGTAGGCAAGAGGAAGCCCAGCAAACCCTCAGGTTGGCCGTGGTCCTCGGGCCTGCAAGCTTCCTGTAGCTCGCCTGCTGCAGCCGGCATTCAGAGGAGAACCTGTTCTACCCATGCGCCAGCCTCCGCCTGTGTGATTCTGGCCACAGGGGGCAGTGCTGCTCCATGGGACGCTAATGGACAGGGCATTTCTGTTTCCCTTGAAGGAAGAAGGAAGTGGTTCAGGGGCAGATCAAAGTCTAGACTGATAACTTCAAAAGCCTCCGGGAGACCTCCTGGGGCCTTGAGATACTCATGCCTAGTAGCTCCACAGGAAGCAGGGAACAGACAATGCTCCAGGCTTTTGGCCTTAGAGACCTTAGAGAGTACTGTTGTTGTTATCATTGTTTTTGTTTGTTATCCCGGTGCCTTTGGAGGGACAAACTTTTCAGGGGCTACATTTTGGATCTTTTGGGTTCCTGCTTTATTTAGAATCTTGCTGGAATGACCGTCCCCCCTTCCATCCCGAGCATCTAGGTCCTTCCCAGTCCAGGATTACAAGGAAATATTCTGTCTGTGCTGCAGCTTCATCGATGCTGCAGGCGGGAATCCCATCTTGTTCCATGTAGCCTGCCCAGTGCCCAAGATGGAGCCCTGGATCATATATGACATTCCATAAGTATTGATAGCCCAGGTGACCAGGGTAGTTTGTAACCACCAGTGTTCATGAACTATTTGAGGATCAGCTGTTTGGGACTCATTGATTTGAACTTGAACAGGCAACAAAAAGCTGCCACCCACCACAGCTGTCCCTTTCCTCCTCCATCCCACCCCCCACGTGGCCTCACCACGCACAGGGCAAGGAGCCTTCCCAAAATAGGTTGCTCTCCTAGGGCTCCCTTCCCAACACAGCTGCAAGGAAGCGTGACTTGAGCCTTAATATCCTGAAGCCTCCTGATAACTGGCCATTGTCCAGCAAAATCCAGTAGCAGGCCCCATCCCAGTGGCATTTGTTACTGAAATACTGAAAGGACCTCAGGGGGGTGAGCCATTCCCAACAAAATGACGTCCTTGGCCCGGGGTGTGGAGGAATATGAAGGTGATAGGTACCTGCCCGCGTATGGATTGCTGAACTACTACGGTGGTGGTGACCTAACGTGGCTGAAGCCCAAAACACAGCCTAACTTCCCAATGACCTCTCCTCCTCCCCTCGGCCCGGAGTACAACTTCCTCTTGCCCTTCCCCAGTAATCCCCAATCAGCTCCTGCTACGTCACTAAGCCCGCCCCTTAAGCTCCACCCCTAGCCAGAGTCTTTATAAACCCCAGCTCCCTTGTCAAGCCCCGGAGGAGTCTTGTATCGCATGCTGCTCTGTCCTCTTCTTGTGTGGAGTAAAGGACTTCTTTCTTTTCTTTGTTTGGTTCTTTTCTGCACCAGAAACCCAGGAGAAAGCCATCTGGAAGAGCAGAGAAAGGCGGGGGCCCAAGGCTTCTTTTAAAAACTCACTTTGCTCCTGTAGCCCCACGGCCTCTATTCGCAAATCGGCTCCTCAACCTTCCTTCCTTCTTTTATCTCGTGAGGCAGCTATGGAGCGAACACAGAACATATGAGGGCTTTGGACTTCAGTGAAGTGCAACTTTAAGTGAGTCATTTAGCCTTGAAGCCCGTTAGGGATCCATGATAGACTCTGAACTTGACTGCCCAGCAGTGTTTTGGGGCCCAAGATAACACCGCACAGGTTGGTTCTGGAATGGCACACACACCAGTTCTGTCCAAGGAGGGACAAGGAAATGTGCACCGGCGATGTCAGCTTCTCTCTCCCACGCCAGTGGTGAAAAGAGCCGCCTCCTGGTCATGTCCAGAAGCAGCCTCAGGATGGTGCCCATCCCAAAGATGGCAGAGCGGAGACTGTCCAAAGCGCTCTATCTTAAAGACCTCGTTGATCCGCTTGTCTAACCCTCATTCTTCCCCCACCCAAATGCGTCTCTGCCCTGTTCAAGCCTGAGTTGGGCTTGCT